AAATACACGCCACTCGAACACCATCTGCCTTGATATCACTGTCAACCAACTGCAAAAGGCAGCTTTACATGGAATAGCTTAATCCTGCAACAGCACCTTTAACAACGTTTAACAACATCTGCCTTGTCCAGGTTCTTGGGAAACACTTGATAGGTGTACAAAAATGCCAAATCCAATTTAAACAACTGACTGAATGTTGAATAATTATAGTGAGATGGGCTACTTTAAGAAATAGCAAAGCAGTTCTGGGTTTATGCTTACATGAGATCTGAATCATATGTTCTAATTGTCCAAAGTAAGTACAGCCTGACTTACCACTCACAAATATAAATGGGCATGAAACTTCCTTCTTCCCTATGAAAGATCTTCTAAAGAGGTGCTTCATATGCACTTTACCTAAAGTTCTCCAGCTGTGGGATTGTAACAAATTAGATTGCTCTCTAAAACGTTTGAATCAAGAGATTCAACATTTACCAGATCGCTCCATTAGATGGCAGCGAAACTCATTCTGCAACTGATGGTATCACCTGTTACAGAAAAGATTTAAAGGAAGCACAAAAGATTTAAAGGAAGTTCCCCACGCCCAGGACTCTTGTTTGGAAAACATCTTACTGCAGCTAGAACAAGGCACGCGCTTCAGATGACTCATAATGTAGGCGCTTTTAGAAGAAAGATTACACGGATCACCATACAAAATATAAAACAGTGAAATATTTGCACGTGAACTCAAAATGTATTAACTTCGGACGGTTCTCCCCCACTTCCCTCCATAACATACGTCATAACTAAGGAAAGGTGTTCGGGCCCATCTCTTTCATTTGGGCTTTCAAAGGGAGTTATGGTTTTGTTTTGATACCGATGTTACGTTGATGTAACTGATCGTTCTTCATCAACCTGCTGGGTTTTAATCGAAGGCGGCGGGGGCGGTAATAAGAAAAGCGGTGTGTATAGGGAGGACACCAAACTCCCACCAGTTTCCGGGACGGTCTCCCAGAAAACATATTGGGAAATGAACCTCATTAAACATAAGTGAGATTTCCTCCGAGTCAAAAATTTTGAGAAAAAGAGTCCGGCAACTGGGGAGAGGCCACCCAGAGTAGATGAACGGCGGGGGGACGGCAATGCAGATCAATTACGTAAACTTTCATTCAAGACGCTTCTTGGGGTTTTGCTTCTGTTTACCGAGTTTCGGTCGCCAACTCGCAGCGCCGCTGCCGGAAGAAGTTCTAGGGCTCCTGACGGCGTCATATGACCCAAGGAAAGATGGCCGAAGACGGGCAGAGCGGCGAGGAACTTGGGGCTGGATCGAGAGAAGATTTTGAGGTCGTTGATCGCGCCCAGATCCCCAGCGCCTCTCAGCTGAAAAGCGATGGCAAAGAGAGGGGGAGCCCAGATGCCAGCTGGTCCGCTCCCATCTTCTCCCTGGCCAAGAAAGCCTCGGAAAACTTAGTAGTGAGCTATGGAAACGCTCTGAAGTCTGCAGCCTCGGTAGGACTCATTCCCAAACCACTCAGCAATGACAGCCCAGCAAAACAAAGTATGGCTATGTTTACTGCTTGTCTTTGGTAAAGGTGGTGTGGGGTGTAAAGCGAGTAAGTGGCTTTTCTCAAGGTAGAGGAGGGGCTGGGTAAGGAAAACTTTCAGGGTGAGTTGACTTTCAGGGTCTGACTAAGAATGTATTCTAGAGAAATGCATTTTCTAGAAGAAATGCCCAGGTTCAACAGTCTTGGCCATTTTCCTTTGATATGGAGCTTTTCCTTGTATCCCATCTTCATTTTGTTAAGTTTTCTGCACATGCCTGGAAATGATTTCCACGTGTTGAAAAATAAATTCAAGGGCAAATTCTAGAAAACATTTCTAGTTATTTCTAGATATTTCTAACAGTTTATTGTGAATTGATTCTTCAATGCTTGACAAAAAGGTAGGGGATTCTCTGTTTTGGACTCATCCTTTTTCCCTTGGCTCTGGATAACATTTATGACTTGGTTTGTTTTCTTTATATGACAGTACAGTACAGTCTCACTTGAATTAAAATATCAAATGAAAAACTATATAAATTGTCATTTTATATTGATTTGCTAAATGTTGAAGCCTATCAGATTATAAATAATGCTGAGATATGTTCGGTGCAAATTACATTGTGTCTAGGCTTACATATCCCAGTACATTTCCAAAGAGAAAATTTTAATATACAAACTTAAGTAAACTGAAAAGGAATAAAGTATAAGTTACTAATAGGGGAAACAAAACATGGTGCTGACAAAGATATGGTTTAGCTTAAGCCCTGCACATTAGGATATAACCATTAGCAATGATTCAGATTCAAAAAGATTAGAGTATATCAGCCTCCACGCAACTTTCATAGGATAAATCCCAGGGACCCCAGGAAAAGGTACAGCTTCTTTGAAAGGAGTTGGGTGCAACATGAACACCCACACACATTTTCAAATCAAATTCTCCTTCAAATGTACATTGCTGCACAGCCCTAATCTTTCCATGTGAAAAAATACCAGTCTGGTCAAAAGTGTTCAGGCTTAGATTTCTACATTCATGGAAGAAGATTCATTGTGTTTATTAAGATTCCTATGTAAGCATTATTTAGAGACCGTTGGGTGTAGTGGTTAAGGCATCAGGATAGAAACCAAAAGACCATGAGTTTTAGTCTTGCCCAAGGCATGAAACCATCTGGTTGAATCCAGTCACTTTCTCTCAGCCCTAGGGAGGAGATTATGGCAAAGCACTTCTGAAAACCTTTGCCAAGAAAATTGCAAGGACTTGTCGTGGCAGTCCGAAGAATCCAATGTGTGTGTTTGGAAGGAAAAAAAAAGATTTATTTGCTTCAAAATAAATGTGTTAACAACAATCAACTTCAAAAATAAATTTGATAAAACTGATTACCTGCAAGAATTTTAGTATTGTCCTATCAATGCAAATTTTCCAGTGAGATGATTATATAAATATATTTCAAGTCCTAAAGGCATGAGTAGAATAAATTCCATGTATAAATTATGTGGCAGAAATAAAATGTGTTAATGATGCAGAGAAATCAGTTGAATGGAATGTAAATTCATATATTTATATTCATCAGAATCAGAGAATTAAAGTAGTATACAATAGAAATTAAAGTAGTATACAATTTCAGGCGTACTAGTACTTACCAAGATTTAATGGGTATTAATGATTTTAAGTGCATATGTATGAAGCATATCCTAATTCCTGGAACATTAAGCTATAAAGTTGTCATCCCAAAAAGCAATTACTTTTTTCTAACAAGAAAAAAGCACACCAAGAGTTTGAGAAGAAATATAAATATGTTAATAAATTCTACTCTGCCAAGGGAATCATAATTATTTAATTTCAATTCAAGAAAATTGACTTTAAGATAAAAATAATACAACTAAATGTTTTATTATTCATACTTCAGTCAGAAACAAAATATTCTTTCAATAATTTCCTAAACTTTGCCAGTTTCCTATTTATAATTTAACCCTTTATCATTTCATATTATAATTATGCTTTCCAATAATAGTATATACTGAACAACAGATTATTGTGTTTATACTTTAGCAAATATGCAGTTGAATGTATAGGATTACACTAATACCTTATTTTGGCATTGTTGTTGTGTCTAAACTTGCAGGATATCTAGCATTAACTGATTTATGGATATGGGGAAAATTGGCATTAACAATGGTAGCTAAATCGTTTATTCAATTAAGCCAATATTCTGGGTTTGCATGAAACATTAAGTTATAAGCTGATTCCCTTCCCCACCAAGCTGGGTTCATATAACATACAGTATTAGACTAATTAGAACATTTTGTCTTGAAGAACCAGTTTGGTATAGTGGTTTAAGATACCAAACTAAAAACCAGGAGACTGAGTCCTGCCTTATGCACAAAATCAGCTGGGTATCCTTAGGCCAGTCACTTTTTCTCAAATCCAGGAAACATGCAATGGAAAACAACTTTCCCAAAAATCTTGCCAAGCAAACTGCAAGTAGTGGCTACAGAACTTCACATTTATTAGAAATAGAAAAATGTTTTCAAGTAAGAGAAAACAAGATATGCAAAAAATATATACTTCATCTCAACAAATTCTTGTTTTTTAAAATTGTGTATCCTCTCTGAAATAGGTTCTTGGTGGAGAATATAATTTAAAAGGCTGTCATTACTTTAATCAGCCACATTTAAAGAAAATACTCAACAAGTTTTAATACATTAAGATTGATATGCTGTGCACAATGATGCATAAAGTCCAACACCAATGAACATTTATTTATTTATTTATTTATTGAATTTATATTACTGCCTATTCGCCCATGGTGACTCGAGGCGGCTTACAGAATGTAAAACCATATTTAAAACAAAAAATAAAACTAACAAAAAGAATCAAATAAATTAATAAAGTACAATAGAACAAAATCTGGAAAAAAAAATCATCCCCCAACTCTCACCATCTGCCCTGACAACAGCAGATCACATGAGCTATCCCACTCTGGGTTCCCCAGGCCCGCTGGCAAAACCAGGTCTTTAGTACCTTCTGAAAGAGTGCTAGAGTGGGGGCCATTCTAATCTCTGCGGGAATGATATTCCAGAGAGAGGGAACCACCACGGAGAAGGCCCTTCTTCTGGGCTCCATCAGATGTATCTCCCTCAGGGATAGGACCCGCAACATTCCCTGCCTCCCTGCTCTGATGTGTCGGGTAGATGTGACCAGCAAGAGGCAGTCCCTCAGATACCTGGTCCCAAGTCATGAAGGGTTTTAAAGGGGACAACCAGCACTTTGAATTGCACCCGGATGCAAATCAGCAACCAATGCAGTTCCTGCAGGAGAGGTGGCACACCTGCATACCAGGGTCTGCACAGAACCATGCGGGCCACTGCATTTTGCACCAACTGGAGCTTCCGGATGCTCAAGGGCAGCCCCATGTAGAGCACATTGCAATAATAAGATGGGAAGTAACTAGGTCATGAGTGACTGTGAGTAGGGACCGTTGATCCAGGAAAGAGTGTAACTAGTGCACAACCCGCAGTTGCACAAAAGCCCTCCTGGCCACCACTGCCACCTGCTCTTTGAGCAGGAGTCATGAGTCCAGGAACACCTCTAGATTATGCATGGGGTCAGTTTGGGGTAGTGCCACCCCTTCCAAGACCAAAGGTGGAAATTCACCCTGAGCCAACCAACTCCAAACCCAGAGCCACTCAGTCTTGCAAGGGTTTAGTTTCAACCAGTTTCTTCCCATCCAGCCCCTAACTGCCTCCAGGCACTGTGAGAGGGAGGACACTTAAATTGCTTCTAAACAAAGCAGCAACCATACCCATACTCTAAAATAAACAATATTAAAGTGGGGATTTAGTGTAATATCATGCTATAAATATTTTTAGGGTTAAATCTGAAGTGTATTCAAATTCCTCCTGGAAACACAAATCTTCTCCCTGTTTTGGTAGTTTTATGTATTTTATTTAAAGTTTTAAAAGTAATATATGACCATATGCAGATTTAACAATTCCAAAAAGCTTGCAAGCTTCTAAAAATCAAATTTCTGATTTTTGTTCACCTTTCATTTTGTCCACTGCACAATCCACATGGGTACCAATACACGTGGTACATCATACAACTGACAGAAATGCTACTTCTCTCTCATGTTATCAATCTGGCTATACAATCTGCCAGGAAGAACAAATTGATGGCTGTATCCCAGCCACAGCATAGAGACAAAAATCAAAACATGATTGCTAGGTTCGGTCTGCGATGTCTTATAGCTATTATTGTACTCCAGGTGATCACACTCACCTGTAAGTCCTGCTTGTGAAAGGAATAGTGTTTGTGAGGTGCTTTAATTTAGGCTGCTCAAGGTACTTATGTTGTATTAAACCAGCTTGGTTTTGTTTGTTTTTAATTGGACTTCAACTCCCAGAATTCCCCAGCCAGCATGCTAACCTAGCTAGAGAGATGGTGCATTTTCAGAAAAAGGAGGGGGGGGAGAGTAACAGCAATACTGCAAGACACAGCGCAAATATTGGAGCAGAATCCCTCGAGAATGAATCTAATGTAGGGGAAGGGGTGACTCTCCTCCCAACCTGTCTTAGGTAGAGGCCGGCGAGAGGTCCGTCAGAGATGCTCCACTTTGGATTGAGCAGGAGGTGGTACAGAATGGCCCCTTCCAACTCTTACGATTCTGATTCTTAAAATTAAGAGTGTAGGGAAGCGGAAGTGAATTCATTTAGAAACGTTACGTTTCCTTAGGAAAAGAGAAGTGACTCTTAATAGGAATAGAAGCTAAAGCCCACCGCTCATTGCACACACACACACACCCGGTCGCGTAGGGAGAAAGCCTAAAAACCGTCAACCTCCAGAAACAGCAACAACTAAAATGGCGCCTCCGCTTTCTTGTTTATAATGGCTGAGTCAATTTGCCTCCGTGTCCAATGAGAAGCGAGTTTACGGGGTGAGAGCGTGAACATTTTTCTCCCCTGTCAAAACATAGCAAGGCATATAAGAGAGCATAGTCAATCCGGGCCCTTGGAATGGTTGATGCGGAGTTGTAATTGGCTCGCAGAAAGGGTGTAAGAGAGTCGGTGTGTTTTGTCCAATGAGAGGTCTTTCTTTGAACGTGGAGGGGGTGGGAAGTGTTGCTCAGGTAACGCAAGTGCAG